TTTCATTATTTATGCTTTTAGAACAACAATCACAACCGAACAACCATCTCAACCATCAAGAATTGCATGTATGGTGCGTTTCTGGGATGATTTGCCATTCAAATTGATTATTGTTATCAGGGGAACTAGATGTAACCCGTGCGCTGCATGTGGTAAGAAAATTACAACTTAAATAATATCACGTTATAAATAAATGTTTATAGAAAACAAACAAACGATATGAAAAACAGTGTTAAATTAAAATATATAATACTTGCGGAAAATGAACAACGCAATTAGAAAAGTCCAGATTTCAATATATGCAGTGAATTAGTTCAAATAGTTGAAAATGCAACTTTATTCTGGTAACAAATACGATTAACTTTAAAAAAAGTTTCAGTGTTGGATTCTTTGTAAATTCATAAGATTAAGTGATTATACAATTCCAAGGTCAGTTGCGTTAATTTGAGACTGGATTATGTCCAACACTTATCCTATAAGATTAATTAATAGTATATATTACTATTGGTAAAAAAAAATAGTAAGCAACTTCAAGTTTTTTGAAAATACTTTTGTTATAAGCCATAAATATAAAAAAATACCACATAGGATTAAACCCAGTATGCTTTAGACATTTATTTTTATTTTTATTCTGAGTCATCCATTTACTCATTCATTTTGTCACGGCTATACTGGTGGGAATGTCCATCAATCTTTATTGAAAATATCATTCAGCTCTTTATATATACTAGCGGTGGTGGCCGCACGAGGTGCGGCTGGGTAAGGTGGAGCCAGGAAGTCGTGGAAGTTTATATACTGAAGTCTTTGTTAATCAATTGTATTGTATATTTATGGTATTTGCACGAAAATTATAACTGTAAACAGTGTGAGAAGTGTACAAATTATATGTTACATATATTGATGATAATGTTTTATTGGAGAATTAAATTACAAAAGAGTGAAAAAAAACGTATTTTACAATGTTTTGTACATAAAGTTTTCAAAGGAAGAGAAACAACGGATGATTTTTATATATATAAGATTACATGCGATGTAAAGGAGTCTTTAATTCAGCTTCAAGGATTGCACTTCTTTCTAACAGTAGTGAAAGGTTCCAATCCATCTTCAGTGCAGTTTTGAGAGCATATTTCCATATAGGATGGCAAAGGAATCTCTTCAGCAGTTCATCTACTTCTCTTTCAAACCAAGAGTTGTACGTGCATTGACCGCAGTGAATACATGTGCATTTTTGGGGGGTGGCCATTTTGTGTGTTTGAGATTGCTATACAATTGTGATATTTGGTACTATTTAAAGACGGTGTTGTAGAAAGGGTGAAATGATTCGTGTGTTGTTGGCAGAATAGGAAAGTTGTAGGTGGTTGGAAACAATAACGTGGCAATTTTTTAAAAGAGTGAAGTGGCAATTTAAAAGATATAGGGTTATAGGTGGACAAAAATGTGGCAGTGTAGTAAGAGGTATATTGTGGTGGGTGGTATACGTGGATGAAAAGTGGGCTGTATGGATTATAAATTTTAAGGATGAGATGGCAAGTGGTTTAAAGTAAATAAATAATATAAAAATTTAAGAGAAAGACAAACAATAATATATGAATAGTGGATTTAGACAATGAATTAAGAGAAAGACAAAAGGAACAGTAAATTTGAGAAAATTTGACCAACAAGGAGAAAAGAAATGGAAATCATGCCAACAATGAAAGTTTGTGACAGGGAGGTTTCCTTTTATTCTTTTTTCACTAAAATTGAAATGAGAACCAATATTAACAGTAGACATAGCAAATATACCATTTCATTGAAATAAATATTATTTCAAAGACAGCAGAAATGAGAACCAATATTTTACTGAAATGCACTTTATTAAACATATCATTTACTAAGTTTTCCCTATTTAATCTAAAGGCCTGTAAAGAAGAAATGACTTTATGTAATGATGAATTCCCCATGCAATGACTTTATGCAATGACTTTAATCTAAAGGTCCGGTATTGTAATAACTTTACTAAGTTTTCCCTATAGAGGAAATTTATGCAAATAAACCTAAACTTTCAGTTATCAAAAAATAAGCATACGCAAATACACAATGGGATAATCAAGTATATACAATGGGACAATCAACAACTGATTACATGGACAATTGACAAGCATATGCATGTGGTAATTTTAACAGCATACACAAAGTTTTGACGGACAATGCTTGAAGCATATGCAATAAGATTTTGTGCACGGACAATATATGCTTGTTTTTTGAAATAAGCATACGCAATGGGACAGTCGACGACTGTGTTTTCAAATCTGTAAAAACAGTGATGCTAAATGACTAAAATTATTCTTAATTTTTTGTGTCTGAAGCTCGCAGCGAAAACAAAACATTAATCAATCTGCTCAGTTATCAAAAAACAAGCATACGCAAATATACAATGGGACCTTAAATCCTAAACTCTAAACTGTAAACGATAAATTAAGAGAAAAACAAAAGGAAGAATAAATTTAAGAAGTTTTGACAAACAATGAAAAAAGAAATGAAAATCACGCCAACAATGAAAGTTTACGCAGGGAGGTTTCCCTTTATTCTTTTTTCACTGAAACTGAAATAAAAACCAAATTAACAGCAGACATAGCAAACATACCATTTCACAGAGACAAATATTATTTCATAGACAGCAGAAATGAGAACCAATATTTCATTGAAATGCACTTTATTAAACATACCATTTACTAAGTTTTCCCTATTTAATCTAAAGATCTGTAAAGAAGAAATGACTTTCATTTTCAGTTTCAACAGAATAATGGCTGTAACAGCAAGTTATAAGGACAAACAAACAACAACAAAACAATGGTTATAACAGCAATCAAAGTGTATGGAATAAACCTTGTCAGATATAGAGGAAATTTATGCAAATAAACCTGAACTTTCAGTTATGTAAAAATAAGCATACGCAAATACACAATGGGACAATCAAGCATATGCAATGGGACAATCGACAACTGATTACATGGACAATTGACAAGCATATGCATGTGGAATTATAACGACACCGTGCAGATCATATTCCACTTGTCCTAGATTACTTTTAGTTTTTTGAGTCTGAAGGTCGTAGGGAAAACAAAATATCAATCAATATGCTCAGTTATCAAAAAACAAGCATATGCAAATACAACCCTAAATTTTGGCAAACAATGAGAAAGGAAATGAAAATCATGCCAACAATGAAAGTTTGTAACAATATTTCACCGGAATGCACTTTATTAGACATACCGTTTACTAAGTTTTCCCTATTTAATCTAAAGACCTGTAAACACCCGTAAGTTTTCCCTATTTAATCTAAGGACAAACAAACAACAACAAAAGAATGGTTGTAATAGTAATCAAGAAATTTATGCAAATAAACCTGAACTTTTAGATTTTTAGTTTACAAATGTCTTGTTTTCAGATTTTTAGAAGCATATGCAAATAAAGCTTATCAAAAAACAAGCTAGAGTACCTTGTTTTTGAACTTTCAGATTTGCCAACTGTGTTTTCAAATAAACTTTCAGTTGTCAAAAAACAAGCATACGTAAATACACAATGGGACAATCAAGCATATGTAATGGGGCAATTGACAACTAATAACATAGACAATTGATAAACATATGTATGTGGTAACTTTAACAGTGTACACAAACTTTTCACAGACAATTTTTCAAGCATGCACATATGGTAACTTTAACAGGATACACAAAGTTTTCACGGACAATCGATAACTGGGTTTTCAAATCCGTAACAACAGTGATGCTAAGTGAGTATACAAAACTGTTGAATTATATCCAAAAGTAAGGGAAATCAAAGGTATTGCACCATATCAATCAGTTGAGTGAACTTATAGAGTTTTTGTTCCAATTTTCAGCTAACATTCTACCAAAAAAAAGTGATGTATAAAGTGACTAAATCATTAACATCACTCTTAGTTTTTTCAGTCCAAAGTTCAAAGTAAGAACAAAGCATTAATCAATCAAGCAGATGTGATACAATTTTACCAGGTCAGTAAAGGAAAGAGCATCGAAAATTTCAAAAGGGGGGAAAAATCCAGACAAAGTACAGAGGTATTCCAAAAAGGGGGAAAAATCCAGACATTACTGATTGCTGGAATTTGGAAGAGACCAAATACAAAAGTTATGGAAGACCAAATTTTCAGAGAATTCAATTGTTAATATTTAAACTTAAATTTTACAGAAATTATAGTTTTTTTTCATGAGTTTGAAACTGAAATAAACATGATCAAATATAGAAGAGATTTATGCAAATAAACCTGAGAAAACAACTAAAAGGATAAGCGTAATTAATTTAGATATATCTTGCTGAAATCAAGTTTTTGGAAAATCTATAATTTTGTTGTGAAATCTGTAAAAACAGTGATGAACTATACTAAATGAAGGTGATATTCATAAAAACAAGTTTTTGAAAAAGATTAGCTAGGTAAGGGAGAAATGTTTCACAAGAGAGTACATCAAATCTGATTTCACAAGAAAGTACATCACAAGAGAGCATATCACAAGAGAGCAGATCAAACTAAAATCAGCTCTGCTGTGAAAACATAACAGAAACCAGCTTTATCATATTCAAACTGAAACCAGCTCTATCATATTTAGAAGGCCAAACATATAGTGTAATCTGATTTACCCATCAGATCATCGAAATGAAGTGAAAAAAGTACTCAACAATCAGTCATCAACTATTGTAACACAATTATACTTTTAGCATATAACCAGACCCAAAATCTAACATATTTTGTACAGAATCTAACATATTTATACAAAATTTAACATAAAAACTAACATATTTAAAACAGGAACACTATTAACTATTTACACAAAATACATATCTACGCAAACATGGGCTCTAGATATCTTTATGCTAACCTATGTTTACCAAAAAATAGAGACTCACTGTTGCTCTATTGTTGTTTTTGAAAAGATGTAGCTAGAGCGTGTTCCTGTTATATGCTAAAGGATAGATGCCATTACCTTTTAATCTTGTTTTGCATGTTTTGTGAATCTCTGCGTTTGTTTTGCCGTTGATGAAAGATCTCTTTTCACAGGTAGAGTCTGTATTTCTGGCTGGTTGGATGCGCTGGTTTCTTCGTCAGTCATTTCAACGTTTGTGGTTGGTGTTTTCGGAGAGTTTGAAGAGGTTTCTTTGTCGCTGGATTCTACTGCTGTTGAGGATGATGTAGATGACGGAAGATACGTGGTGACAGTGTATCTTGATGGTGTTTCTTGTTGAATCTTGATGGTTGATCGCAGGTGGAACATTCGGTCTGAATTTTCAAGGTTGTTGTTGATTTTGTAAATGTCTAGATGTTTGTTCTGCGAAAATAAAAAAAAAAGTTAGGTAGTTGTTTTAGTTTGTTATTTTTATATATAATATCTGTTAAATAGTGATGTTTGTGAAATTTCAAAAGAGAGAATACCTGGTTGTTGTATTTAGCCAATTGTTCAGCTGATATGGTGAGGAGTTTCTCAGCTTCATTTCCTTCTATGAAAGCATTGAGAGTGCCAGTTTTATCAGAGAGTTGTATTTGAAATTATAACCTATAAATGACAGCGGTTAGTTGGATAGTATATGTAAATATTGCTTTGGTAAACAAGTTTGGTGATAGAGGTTACTTATGCAGGTTTTGGACATGGTGCTCTGTTTTACAGTATAAACAAGGGAATTTTTTTTGGTAAGATGCCCCGCATGTTCTGAAGCAATTTGGACAAGTAAGGATATACATGTGTTGATCTCTGTCAACAATCTTTGGCTTTGCTTTTATCCAAAATGATCTTGGCTGCATGTAACGATATGTGTGAGTGAGTAAAAATTAAAACAAAATTATAAAGCAAGTGCACATTGTAAAATACCGGGTTACTGGAACTTATCACTTGGGCAATTTTTCGAACATGAGAGTCACTTGGTGCCGTTATTGTCTCATGCACTTTTTCATATAACTTTTGGGAGATAACCGCCTCTATGTATTCATTGTTCGCGTTGATCCTACAGTAAGAATAATCTTAGTCACAATCAATTATAAAAAAATGTAAAAAAACACAGAAAAGCAACATAGAAGAATAATTTCAGGTTGTAAGTTGATTTAATGTTATGTAAAAATCATATTAAACTCTAGCAAACATTGAAGACTCAGTTTAGTATATATGTAGCTTAGTATAGTACTGAAAATATACATATGTTCTGTGTAGTTTAGTATAGTATTGAAATAATTGAATATCAGTGGGTTCAATTTTGATATGGGGATGTTTACAGACCAAGAATCACATCCGAGGATTGAGTTAAAAGGTAGTAATTTGCATATATTATAGACAAGCAGTAAGAAAATTGCAGGGAAAACAAAACATCAATCAATCTGCTCAGTTATCAAAAAACAAACATACGCAAATACAACCCTAAATTTTGGCAAACAATGAGAAAAGAAATGAAAATCACGCTAACAATGAAAGTTTGCAACAATATTAACAGCAGACATAGCAAACATATCATTTCATTGAAACAAATATTATTTCATAGACAGCAGAAATGAAAACCAATATTTCACTGAAATGCACCTTATTTGACATACCATTTAGTAAGTTTTCCGTATTTAATCTAAAGACCCGTAAATTTTCCCTATTTAATCTAAGGACAAACAAACAACAACAAAAGAATGGCTGTAACAGTAATCAAAATATATGGAATAAACCTTATCAAATATAAAGGAAACTTATGCAAATAAACCTGAACTTTCAGATTTTTAGTTCAGAGATGTTCTATTTTCAGATTTTTAGAAGCATATCCAAATAAACCTTATCAAAAAACAAGCTAGAGTATCTTGTTTTTGAACTTTCAGATTTACCAACTGCATTTTCAAATAAACTTTCAGTTATCAAAAAACAAGCATACGTAAATACACAATGGGACAATCAAGCATATACAATGGGGCAATTGACAATTTTTGAAGCATACACGAACTTTTCACGGACAATTTTTGAAACATACATATGTGGTAATTTTAACAGGATACACAAAGTTTTCACGGACAATCGACAATTGCGTTTTCAGATCCGTAACAACAGTGATGCTAAGTGAGTATACGAAACTGTTGAATTATATCCAAAGGTAAGGGAAATCAAAGGTATTGCACCATATCAATCAGCTGAGTGAAGTTATAAAGTTTTTGTTCCAATTTTCAGCTAACATTTTACTAAAAAAAAGTGATGTGTGAAGTGACTAAATCACTAACATCACTCTTAGTTTTTTTAGTCCAAAGTTCAAAGTATGAACAAAACATTAATCAATCAAACAGATACGATACAATTTTACCAAGTTAATAAAGAAAAGACCATTGAAAATTTCAAAAGGGGGGAAAAATGCAGACAAAGTACAGAGGTATTCCAAAAAGGGGGAAAAATCCAGACATTACTGCAGAAAGAAGACCTATTTGGAATTTTTCATGGATTTCTGTAAACAGTGATCGATTTCTGTAAACAGTGAGCAAAGACCGAGAAGATTAAGCTGAAAATAAACAGTGATGATACATGTAAAATTTGACGTATATATTGATGTATTTTTAATACTCATGTTAGTGTTTAAAATGACTAAATATTGAATTGCATTTCTGTACATATAAACTGAGGCGCGGCCGAGACAATGCATTATTTTAACTCCTAAATTAACAATGAGAATTTTCCACAGGCAATAGAAGTAAAAAAAATTTTAACATACATGCCTTTGTAGCCATTTTATGAACTTGCAAATTATAATCTTTAACTAAAGTAAATGGTTATGTCACTTAACCATACTTTCAACTGTTACATGCAAATTTAATGCAAAATCTGATAAAAGTGAAGTAGTTGTGTAATAATCCAAACAAGTACTGCTAAATAAGCTCTTGGAAATTAAATTGAAATTTCATTTTTCTGAGTGAAAGAACAATATGATGAAGAACAAATCAAATGGTGGAGCAATTGCAAGGATGAAACTAAATTGTATGACCATGAGTAATCATGAAATATCATAGCAGAAAGTCACAAGTGTTACAGAATTCATATGCATTGGAGACTGAGGTTTTAAATCAATTTACAAATTTCAATTACACTTACCATGATTCTAATTCTTGGGCTTCAGCAATTGGTGCATCAAACAGAAGTACACTATTTGGCTGTGCATTAACAGAAATACCTGTGGTTCAAATTTGTCAATATGTATAAACAGAAGGTAGAAGAAGGGGGGAAAAATTATTTAATCTTACCGTGAAAGGAGGTTACAGCTAGCCTTGTAGCCAGTATGACCGGATTCTTGTGGATGTTGTTAACCAATCGTTGGCCTTCTTCATGCAAAGATTCTTCCTAGAGACTGAGAAGCATTGGGCAGCATCTGTAAGTTCAAAATAATGTGTTACTAATTATACACTTTAAGGATAAATGAATGAAAAACAGTAAGAAGTATGTTATTTTCAGCACGATACATACTCTTGATTTACAATGACGAATTCCTGCACACTTTTCCCTTTTGTTGCAACAAAATGCACTGGATGAAAATGTATAACACTGCATAATACATCTGAGAAAGAGAAATATTATGAGTAGATGGAGATGTATATGAACTGTTTGAAATTCCATATTACTGAAATGTTTATAATGCAAAAAAAGAAGCATTTACCAACTCTATCTTCTGATGAACCCATGAAATCCGGAAACTGTGCAAATGGAGTCAACTGATAAACATTATCTAATGGAAGTTCTTCTTCTTTTTCAGTTGCTCTGATGTATGCACTTCTGTTGAGAATCATTTGATACTTGTAATCCACCATGATGGGAAAATTTCTATTCAGTGGTATGATTTTCCCATTGCCGATGTAGTAGGTTTTATATAATTTTAAAACTTCGTTTAAATCTAGGGCTCTGGATGGAAAACTATACATTGTATTTTAGTGTGCTGCAAAACAATCATTTCAGTTAGATAGGTGAAAGATAAGGATTTAACAATTAATATAGTAATGGAATTTAGAACAAAGCATCTGTTTTTATCACTGATAAGAAATCTATAATTGTACTATGGGTTATACCTGATTATCGATGAATACAAGTTTGAGTTGTGTCTTCCCAGATTGAAGTGTCTTTACGGGAGTTTTTTCAGCAACTAACACTCGAATACACCATTCGCGTAGCTGAGGTTCAAGGCTGAAAATTGGTATGCATTTTTCTTCAGCCTGTCTGCAAAAAATGGAAATACAGATTATAACTGTGCAATACACTACTAAAATCTGTACAAAATAAAAATATAAATTACATATATACATCAAAGTAAAAAAACAGAAAATAGTAAGAATACATACTATTTCATAGAAGGAAATGCCGTTACAGTAATGTCTACATATGGAGATACATATATATATATATATACATTTTTTTAAATTTGTATTTGCTACTGTTAAAATTTCGTGGTACACAATGTTTTTAGTGTAATCAGTGCCTGATAAAAGTGGTGTTGTGGGTCTTATCAATACTTTAATTTGTTGTATAGTTTTGGCCCTTGACAGTGCAACATATAGTTGACCATGAGAAAATACTGGTTCTTTTAAATATACTCCTACAAAGTCTAATGTTTGGCCTTGTGCTTTATTAATTGTCATTGCAAAACACAAGCGTACAGGAAATTGTTTTCTTTTAAATGGAATAGAAGAGAAGCTGTCCAACGGAGCATTTATTGTGATTCTAGGAATAAAAACTGTTTTTCCACTATATGTACCAACTGAAATTTTAGCACATATAATATTATTGGTAAAATCAGTGGAAACAAGACGTGTTCCATTACATAAACCTTCAGTTGGGTTAATGTTTCTAAGCAATATGATAGGGGCATTTTTTTTTAAAATCAATTTGTGTGGTGGTAATCCCTGAGGTGTTAAAGAATGGAAAAGTTCTTCTTGATCAGGAATTGAACATGCAGTTGTACTTTCGTCACAACTAAGATAAATTATTTCATTACCAGAGAATTTTTCAATTATGCTATTATTAATTTCATGAGCAAATTCATTTCTGGTTGTAAGTATACTTCGATTTACAAAAGGAGTAATGTCAAAATCAGAAGAATCAATACCTGGAAATACTGTATGAATTAGCATGTATAACGAGGTAATTTCATCGAAAAAGGAATATTTATCTCTGCTGGTAATTTAATTTCACCTCTATTATTTGTTTGTTCAGTATCATTTCCTATTCTTAACAGATAAGATGAAAAATAAGGATCAAAACGTGCTCTCATATTTTCCTGTAATCTAAGCTTTTCAAAATGATTCCATAAAGGTGACATGAGAATCGAAGCATTGATG